GCCAGTGTAATCGGCCTTGGTGCAGTGCTCGTTCAGCGCCATGACAATGCTGAACACGTGGTCGCTTACGCGAGTCGTTCGTTGAGCAAGGCAGAACGAAATTACGCAGTCACAGAACAGGAGTGCCTCGCAGTTGTTTTCGCCGTGCACAAGTTTCGCCTATACATCTACGGCCGTCGCTTCTCGGTAATCACCGACCATCATTCTCTATGCTGGTTGGTAGGCCTCTGAGACCCATCTGGACGACTGGCGCGATGGGCTTTGCGCTTAGAGGAGTTCGACTTCACAGTACGCTACAAGAGCGGTAACCGGCACGCAGACGCCGACTGCCTATCGCGCCTTCCTCTACCGACCACGGAGTGCGACGCTGACAACTTCGACCAGTATATCGGCGCTATTGCCTCTGAATTCCCTGATCTCGCGACTTTCCGGACAGACCAACAAGAAGACCGCTCCTTAGATTCTCTGTTCGCCTCCGCAAATGAACACGCAAACCCAAGCTCTTTTGTGGTTCATGACGGCGTACTTTACAAGAAGAATTATTCCGGACAAGGTGCCCGTCTGCTTCTAGTTGTTCCACGCACGTTACGGGCTCACGTCTTTCGACGACGCAACCTGCGGCCACATAGGCTTCGCCAGAACGCTTCAACGAATCCAGCAAAGGTTATATTGGCCCAAGATGCGACACGACACGGAAAAATACGTTGCTGGATGCGCACAATGCCAACGACACAAACGTCCCACGGCTACGCCGCCAGGACTTCTCCATCCTGTTCCACCTCCTAACTCTCCCTTCGAGACTGTTGGTGTCGATCTGCTCGGTCCATTTCCACGATCGAGCAGTAACAATCGATGGGTCGTCATCTGTGTTGACCACCTAACGCGCTACGCAGAAACTGCTGCAATACCTGCTGCAACGGCCATGCACGTGTAGCAGTTTTTGCTTCGCTGTATAATTCTCCGCCATGGTCCTCCACACGTTGTCATTAGCGACCACGGACGTCAGTTCGTTGCCGACGTCGTTAAAGAGATCCTGCGTCTGTCTGCCTGCAATTTCCGTCATGCCACACCATATCACCCGCAGACCAATGGTCTCGTAGAGCGCACGAACCGGACTCTCATGAACATGCTGTCTATTTATGTCGATTCTAAGCACAAAAACGTGGACGAAGTGCTACCTTACATCACGTACGCGTACAATACCGCGAAGCATGAGACTACAGGGTACTCTATTTTTTATTTTACCTGGTGTACGCTCGCTCCCCACGATTTTGTCTCGACACTATACTACCTTTTACACTAGACGTGGAAACCTCGACAGCCGAGACGCTCTGCCGCGCAGAAGAAGCCCGTCGCATCCCATACCTCCGAACCTTGGCATCCCAGCAGCGTTCTAAGAAACGTTACGACGCCTGCCATCGTTCCGTGTCTTATAGTAAGGGCGATCTTGTGTGGTTATGGACACCAGTCCGCAAACGTGGTTTGTGCCAAAAGTTCTTGGCTCACTATTTCGGTCCATTCGTCATTCTTGACCGCCTCAGCGACGTCACGTACGTAATCTCGAGCGTCGCAAGCAATGGTCGCCGCTCTAGCAAAACACAACTGACACACGTTGCGCGCCTTAAACCGTGCCACCATCAACCATCTGAGTGACTCGCTTAGAGGGCATCGTCTGCGAACCAGGAAGTGAAACGCGCTAGCGAAGATTCGACGAAGAGGAGGAAGAGACTCGACTGGCTCGCGAGCGACGCTGTGGATCCTCGACTGAGCTACACCTCTGCATTACCCATATTGTAAATAAACGCGTTACATCGTCACAATATGTATGTATGTATGTATGTATGTATGTATGTATGTATGTATGTATGTATGTATGTATGTATGTATGTATGTATGTATGTACGTTTGTTCATTTAGAGTTTATGTAACACCACATATTTCATTGTTGAAATGTGCTTTGGAGGTGCTGGGCACATTCTCCTATATTGTCTGCAGGATAGCGTTGTAACTGGGATTGATGGATGTCATGACTGTCACGCTGTTGCCAGAGCTTTTCTGAAGCTTTCCAGGTTTTCGATTATGAGAAAACTATGCCTCAAGGCAAGAGAAGGGGACCTATGCAGATTCACTTGCGGACGGCTTTCTTTGCCCTACGCAGTTAGCACGAGGGCTGCAATGAGAGCATTTGCAGCGTTTTTCCCTAGCGCCATCTGGACAAAGTCCGACGTATAAAGACTAACAAAGCCGAGTTGAAAACAGCGCGCAGTTGGCGAAAACGGACCGAGGGAACAATAGACAAAGGTGCTGACCAACAAATATTTAATTCCCTACACGTTATGAAAATAAGTATCACAATCAACAAAAAAAGAGAAAGAGGCACAACGGATGGAGGAACGCTTCGTATATGAACAGTCAAAGCTGTTTACTGATAGACACGATGTATATCTGGCCTCATTTAATAGGCTGGCTTTTAAAGTGCTATTGACTGTGTGCTTCTTGAGCTGTCTAAATGGTTCACAATTATTGTGGGCCGCAATTTTTTTTCATTTTTTTTTCACCAGATCTGCACTGTATTGTCATGCTGTCAAATTCAGGCGAGAAGTCACAAGTCTTGGCAGTGCATGCCCGGATGTCCTTAAATTGGCACGGTCATATGCTACACAAGCTTTAGCAATCTTCGTGGAAACGTCGGCCCATTTGGCAGATGTACGTGCGTCCGCAAACAATGAGAATGGAATAAACAACCCCTTAGAACATGTTAGGAACCGACAACAATGATTTGTGCTGCAGCCTAAATTCGTACGGCATATCTAGCTCACTGTTCCACTGTTGCATTGCGTATGAGCGACAAACGTAGTTCTTGGTCACCGCCTGCAGTCTTCAGATTTGCCTAATGTCTTCCACGCACATGACGAGAACAGACATATCTGTCCGTCCTCGTCTAGTGCACTGTTGTTTTCTCCTCGGTATGGAACACTAATTAGATGGAAATGTGTTATGTCAGACTAACACGTGTGCGTATGTAAATATGCAACGATACTTGCTTCTGAATAATATATATATATATATATATATATATATATATATATATATATATACATATATATATATATATATATATATATATATATATATATATATATATATATATATATGCCTTCTGTTTTCTATATTTCTCAGGTTGTGTGTGATGACATCGTGCCAGCTCAAAATCTTGTGAGCACAAGCTAAAAAACTGTGTTTTGAAACCCGAAGTGCTGTCTATACCAGGCTGGACACCCGATTAACTTTCTTATTGTCAGCGGTAGCAAAAACATAAGGACAGATAAGACACGTAAAAGGCAAATATAGGAAGTGAGTGGTCATTACCTAGGCACATAAAATCTCGGACAACCTGAGAAAAATAGGCCACATAAATGGAACACGCGTTCTATTTTCCAGTTTTTGGTCGCTTGCCTTGTCTTTGCAAACGAGTGAACCAGTTGCGTCATATGAATGTCGGCTATACCATAAATCTTCTTTATGAGTTGGCTTTATGTGCTGAGTGAGTAGTTTGTATTGTTATCCTGTCTTGCACATGCATGCACTGACGTCGTGCTAGCGGGCCAATGTCTTAATAAAAGATCCCTGAAGCATATGTGAAGATTGATATTGCAAGCTTCAAGACCCATGGGCATTCACTGCTTAGGTTGCAACAGCACGAGAGTACTACACAGGCCTGGTGAAAAATGACTTCAGAAGTTATAGGAACACAGGAAATCATGCAACTAGAGGAGAGCTGCGTCGGTACCCACCAATAACTCTTTTCGATAAAGAGCATGTATCCTATAAGACCTACACAAGCATTGTACTTTTTGGTCTTTTTTGTTATTGTTCATATATTATATTTATGTTCATGTTGAGGAGTATCAAAGCTTCGGCGGTTAGTGAACGCACGTGTCATGTGCATGCTGGGTTTATCATCGTCACGTGCTGGCTGTTTTCTCCTTTGTATAAAGACAAATTAGCTGGAAATAAGTAATTCTAGTGTAACACACACGGTGGATGTGTATACGCAACGACAAGCTACAAAGTGGGAAGGCTGTGGAAATTCCCTCAGTCAGTGTACTGGCATCACATTTTCTTGCTAAGCTCCTAACGAGGAGAACAACAAGGATTCATTAGGCATTTCAGTGCTTTACCTACCCATAATCGTCTCGCGGTATGTCACTCTGCTAATTTATGTCTTCTTGCCTCATTACTGGAAACAGTGGAAGCATCATGTGTATAGTTTCTACATTCATTCATTTAGGAGGTAAAGCTATCCACTTTAAGCTTATCCTCTTGCTTAGGATTATTATTAGGCATGCCTAGGTGTGCTGTTAAAGCATACACACAAATTCTACACCAGAGCGCATAAAGCCGGAGCGTAAGGCCCTTAATATTTTCCTGCAGTAAATGGTAGCCACGAGAATATCCGTTCATTAAAAAGGATCAGTATAATCAATGAATTACCTGAATGTATTGCAACTTTCTTTTTCTTAATGCTCTGTTCACAGCTTCAAATTTTTGCGCTCTCTGTATGCATGCTCACGCTTGATTAGTTTAGGGTTATCATCACGTTTCCACATATGCGTATTAATATTTTTACTTTTGTGTAAATACTCCTAAATTCACCCAGCCTGCTGCACACAAAATGAATATAAGCAGAAATTAAACATAAGTCATCGCAGTAGTAACTTTGCTGTACATAGATAGACAACGACCGTGTTTCCTCACGTCCACGCGTCACAGAAAAAAACACGTCTTTATTTGTGTACATGTAACTCCACACAACCTGAGGATGATGTCTTACTTGAGGACCTCAAGGTTATTGCAGAAGATTCAAATTTGCTCACTCAACACACATCATGTTACTCAACCTTGAAGAAAACTTGGTTATGTTGTATTTGGCACAACATTACAACCTGGCCAACGCAAGACATTTATCGCACAGTGAGAAAATAAGAACGTAAACTTACAGACTGTCAGTGTCGTTGTGGTAGTACGGCGGCATTGCCAAGGAAACGGGAAGAACTGGGAAAAAAAAAACCTTATGTGGAGGTGTATTGATACACCTATAAGGACAACAGTAAAAAATTAAATCGCGAATCAAGAAAAATTTATAGTCTTTGATCTTAAGGAACCTAAAAACCTCGTGACAGCATCAAAAATATTTCTTACTGCGTGGAATTTCAGAACAATTTTGCAATGACACCATGGAAAAGCAAGCCAATGTCAACACCGACGCGTACGAACTGTATGGCTGCGGGAACCTTTGCGATCCAGCAAAAGTTGTCATCACACCGGTTAGCGGCTATGGGAGAAACAGATGAACAGTGTAAGCGTCCCACTTAAAACAGTGCGCCTACCTGTGTGCTGCTAAGATCCATACAAATAACAACCTTTTATTAAGCTGGGCTAAGGACACCTCAACGTATTTCGAATTGATGTTTCAATATGTATAAACAAGAGCGCTATACGCACTGGCAACTTCACTGTCGCTTACGGCAGATTAACCTTAACTTTCCCATGATATAGTATTTTTACTTTCCCTTTGTTTTAGCCACGAATCTCTAACTGTTTCTTGTTTCCATAGACCTGGCCCCAGAGCGTTGCTTGCTGGTGAACCATTATAGTCTGCTCGGTCTTTTTCTTCAAGGATGTCTAGTGGCTAAGGTACTCGGCTGCTGACCCGCAGGTCGCGGGTTCGAATCCCGGCTGCGGCGGCTGCATTTTCGATGGAGGCGGAAATGGAGGCCTGTGTGCTCAGATTTGGGTGCACGTTAAAGAACCCCAGGTAGTCGAAATTTCCGGAGCCCTCCACTACGGCGTCTCTCATAACCATATGGCGGTTTTGGGACAATAAACCCCACATATAAATCAATTAATTTTTTTTCAAAGACGTCGTTTTTTCCACGCACTCGAAGGCGCGAACCCTCCGAGCCATCTCGAGTTCTGTGCGTCTGCGGTGTGTAGAATGTGTTTGTTCGCGCAAAAACACAAACGCGAAATTCCTTTCCGCAGTACTGTGTCTGAGCGGGGCACTTGTTTGAACGACGTCTCCAGGGTTCCGCAAAAATGGCCTAGCCTGCGCGGAACAATCAGCAATGTCAGAGTAAAAGCTGAAACAGCGGCTTTTCAGAGCCTTTTTTTAGAGCTCTTTCGTGCAGCTGCTGCAAGACATTTGCCCGGTACTCACTATGCCAATAATCATTGTATTATTGTAGACAGGCATTCTCTATGCCAGGATTCGTCATTCATCGGTGAAGTGTGGTACCCACTAAACACCTGCAAGGAACTTGGTGCATTTTTCTCCTGTGTCTGACGACGATGAGAAGCTATGCAGAAGCTTTTGTAATCCCAACAATCCTTATCAGTTGGTATGCGCTACAGTTAATAGGTAAACAAGATTGAGTTGATGTAAATGGTTGGGGCATTCGACGACCGACTAGTTGCGAGATTGACGCTATGTGTCATTTGTTTCTACCTATGCTGTTCTAAAACGCTTCATTACATATATTAACGCGATTCTTTTTTCGACATCAAGCCTCTCTGAAGCCAGTTTGCAAAGGAGCTCCTAGCACTGGCGTGGCTCACTGGTAGAATACTGGGCTGGCACACAAGGAACTCGAGTTTGAATTCCTTTGCGTTCTCGGTGCTTTTTTCTTCTTTAGTGCGATTGTGGTTACGGACACCGATGGCGGCGGAAAACTACGGAGCGTACGTGACCAGTATTGTTATATCATAACAGCTTTCGCTATAAAATGTTTGGCTCTGCTCAAACTTAGAACCCTTTAGGATTTCGAACTCGACTGAAGTAGTTATTTGAGGTGGGAGAACCCAGCACGCTGTGACTGTATCACTGCTCATAATATTCCGGTTGTCTTCATTATTACACGCCCTGTATCTGTCGAAGTACTTGTGAAACTAGTGGCCTGTCACTTCAAATGAACAGCTGTTGCGTGAACACGGTTGTCTACATTTAAACCTCAGGCATATGCGTCGGTTCGAAGGTTGCTTCTGTTCTAAGTGACATCATGTTGAGCCCCGTCCACACATTGATACACCATAACCTCGTATGGTAGGACGTCAATATTTTCTGTAGTGTAGACAATTTTCTTGTGTAGCCGTGACCCTACACGTGCTATGATCAGTGTTTGAGATGTTTTCAAGGAGAGGGATCTTAGTTAACGTCAGAAATATCTCAAAAGCTTTTTCAGTTTTCGTGCTTGTATTTTACATTCACTCCAGACCATATCAGCTAAAGTTTCCCACCTAGAACGCGGAAATCGCTGCAAGAGTTTTCATCGGCCCACTTGAATTGGGCAAAGGGTGATTTGCAGGCAAATAATATACAGAACACTTGCGTTAGGCACATTGATGGACTACGTCAAGCGGGTTTTTGAGAGAGATGAAAAAAGTTTTCATTAAGAAAAAAACTTTGGGGGCCAAAACATGGCCTCGCTACTCATTTGGCCCGTCTCACCTGAGTATGTTGAGATTCTAGCAAAGAGGGCAGCCTTCCATGCTCTCGAGACGGGTAGAAGACGGTGGCAGGTGGAGAATTTTAGCACATGCCAACACCTTGTAGAGAATGTCATGGATCACCCCATAGTGCGGGCGCCACCATACGCGTCCGCAGATGAGTGTTTGCTGAATGCGTAGAGTACATGTCTGCAGGTGTCTCAAAGTTTGCTCATCCGCGTTACTCTGCCTATTCTCGGCTCCTGAAAGGGGATATGAGTTTTTTTTTCTTTTTTTAGGGGGGGGGGGGGCTGTCAAGTATTAACAACTCCCCCCGGGATAAAAAGGTCGGAAGGTAAACGCTCGGGTGGCTGCGTCAGCAGCCTCATTACCTCTTAAACCCTAATGGTCGTCAACCCTAAATATGCGTTTAATCGTTGAGCCAGCGGCACCCCGCTTTAGAATATGACTAGCTACAAGGATGGGCTTCCCTGATGCTTATTCAGCAAACGCTTTTAAAGTCTAAGCAGATTTGGCTCGGGTGTTGGTCCTTCCTCACACTTCCGCTCCCCCACTGCAAAACGCATCCCCCTCTTCCTCTGTCACGCGTGTTATACGGTCTCCGTCTCAATCTCGAGTCGGCGGTGAAAGCAACAAAACGCTTTCATTGTACACACGATCACTTCGTAGCCGTTCACCGTCGGTTTTGCGGTGTTGCACGCTTCCGTGAGAGGGGGTGCGTCTGCCATGGTTAGCAAGAGATCTTGTTCTATGTCTCTGGTATGTGCGATGAGGCACTGGTTGTTGAGCAGTGCTGTAGTCATGGTCACCGGCAGCGTTGGTCACTGGCAGTGCTAGTCCGGTATGGAGGTTTTGAATGTTGGAGCACCCACTTAAAGGGGCCCTATAACGCTTCATAACATCGATACTGACTGTATTAACACGTAGCGCTGCTCGCCAGAACGATTGCAAGAGAAAATGACAATAAAAGGTGCAGGCCTCTGATTCGATAAATAAAACGTGATATATAATCACGGCATTGTATCAAAATAGGGGTTAGTATTAGATTTCATTTTTATTTAGCATGAGTTTTCACTAACCACGGTAGAAATTAGAGTCTCCAAAGTCTTTAGGTTGCAGGCAACAAAGCCAGAGAAAGAAGGCGCCGAGCGCCATGGCGTGGTAAGGAACGCACCGGAGACGCTCCAGGTGCCATTATTTACAGTGAAGTGAACAAAACATAACATTGATATATAGTGCCTAAAAGTTATTTCTATGAGATATATTTGATATATAGACGCTGTCGCAATAAAATAGATAAATGAAATTACGATATGTGTGAACGTTTTTGCGAAGTGCCTCGTTTGGCACGTGTTTTTACCTCTTTGTTACCATCGCAGCGGCGTCCTCAGTAGGGAGGTTTATAATAACGTTTGCAGGCGCTGCGCGCGTTACGGGCATAGCGTGCGCCATATGATTTTTCAAACAGCGTTTGCCTTCCAGAAAACAGCAACGCATGATCACAATGACCCGATAGCCTCGAAACCCCCTTTGCGGGTCGCATGCGGGCCGCATATGCCGCCAACTTTTTTGTTTTTTTTTTTGCGGGCGGGTTGCGAGCGTGAATGGCGGCTCGTGTTACAACGCATGCGCAGTGGCAGCCACCACACCGCTAGGGCTTGCGGTGCGCCATTCTGAAACTCCCTAATATCTTGCAAATAACGCGCAATATCGCATACAAGCTTCTTGTAAGTTAGAGCTTTCAGTTCATTTCATCGGAAGCCATCCTAGGTCACAGGAATAGGAAAACGAGGTCAGGTTACCACGCAAAAATATAGTTGAGGGTAGCCGTTCATTTTTACAGTGAGACCAGAACATGGGTCAAGCGTGGCGTCGTAGTTGTCCGCTGCAATCGCTGTTGACGTTCGTAAAAACTATAGAAAGAAACAAAAAACTCAATAAATAAAAAACCCCGATGGCGGAAAGGGATTTCAACCTTGGTCCGCTGCATGCCAGCCCGGTATTCTACGCTGCTTTTCTGTTGTAGCCAGTGCTTCACATTGCGTCAGCCAACCGCAGTTGGAGAGGCTCATCGCAGTTAATAATAAGCCGTCTTTACTTGTTCACACTGCATAATAGGGGAGGTAACTTTGCGATTTTGAAAAGGGTCTATTGTACTAACCGTTAATCGTGTATATGTCCCCGTGCATGTCGTAATATATGCTAAGGACAGGTGCTCTCAGCGATTTGCTGCCTCTTACCACTGGCATACTGCACGCAAATCACTGCTGTAAAGCGGTACAGCTACCGTCTCGCTTGAAAAAAAGGAATAAGTATAAGTCGTACACTTTTACTGCACTGGTGTTTTTGTTTTTGCTAATAGCGATTACTGACTGGCGGTGAAGCGCGGTGCTTTTCATTGCGGAGAGAATTCTGTGCGATCTAAAAACACCGCACCGGCACTATTAGCGCGTCGTGTTGTGATCATCACAAATAGCACTGTATAATAACATCCTCTTGTGCTGATTGTTTTCGCATAGAAATATGAAGCAGAGGTGTCCAGACGCTTTCTGGCATTTTCATGTGCCAGAGATGCAACTTGCCACGTCAACTTGGCGCTGCAGATACATGCCTTGGCAGTTCAAAATAAGGCAGACTGGGTGCGAGAGTATAAACTTGCAGCCTATTGCCAGGATGCGAGATAGACGTGACGACGGCACAGCTGTTGCAGAGACAAATGGAAGAGAAGAAAAGAAGCGGAAGCAGCGTCTGCCACCTTCTCTACCCTACCTTCTTGCGCACACGTGAGGAGAGGGAAATAGTTGACACGTGCGTTATAGTGAGGGATCAGGCGGTCGCCGAGAGATGTACACAGCCTCGAGCAAAATCTGATTGGCATCTAAGAGGAACAGAGCACGAAAACAGGACACAGTGCTAGTGAAGCTCCAGTACTGTGTTGTTCTGTTCTAGTGCTCTATTCCTTTTCGCGCTAATTTTGCGCAAGATGCATCACATCCAACTAACTCACCTATCTATTTTACAAGAAGTTACGTACGCTTGCCTTCACTAAAAATTTCTTGTTAAGCTCGATTGGCTATTTAGTGTCAACCGTAGTATTCGAATCACATGCAAGTTGTTAGTCTGATTATGTTTTGGTTTTGATTTCGAGGGGTTACATGGATGTTCACGTTACCTCATATCAATGTTGACTTTGCCTACTACAGGATGCTGGCTTTCTTTCCATTAAACATTACTTTCCAGTTATCACCCGTCGTGTTTGTTGCATTGATAATAAGTGATGTAAGCTTTAATGAAAGTTCACCGCTTTTTCAGGTGACGCAGATTACCTTCACTAGTCTTGTTCGTTTTCTATGCGCTACGCTTCGACATCAATATATACAAACTCTCCCTAACTCCACATTCATCCAAAACTGCCCTGTGTACTAGAAATGATTTGAAGAGTGCCTATTTGGGCTAGTGCATCTGCATTTGATATGCATAAGCATAGTGTGGCAACATGCTTTTTAACCGACAAAGAAACAACTACTGGCCACAGTGCAGGCATATATATTCGCCAGTATACTGGGCTCGGGCTACACCCACCCCCCTTCCTTATGTCCTGGAGTGACTTTTATCAAGGTATACAGGTCATAAAATGCCTTGTGACAATGTTCACCACCCCGTCACCCATGTTGTATCAGCGTAGCGTTATTTTAGCGAGTATATATAAAGTATTAGAAATAACTGCATATATTACAGAAACATCAGCTCAATGCCAAATACGACAAGAATTAGCACAATAATGGGATAATGAAACAGTTCATTCTCTTACACATAAGGTCATGCAAGGGGTCCTGGAATGGTTCTCCACTGAAAACGGGTCCAACCCAGCTGAAAAAAAAGAAAAAAAGTTACTGCAGGCACATCTCCAACGCACTATTTCATGCACCGTCTATGTTTTCATTGGTGTGTTATAAGAATTTTAGAAATAGACCTTGCATACTCTTATAAACAACTTAAAGAAGAGTGCTATAGTACAGACGCTGGCCAGCATACCCGGATTCAACTGATCTCATTAAAGGAATCAATCGACGCAAAGTAAAAACGCACACGAGAAAAATTACGCGTAAAGGCACAAACGTGCAACCGAAGGACTCAAATCCGAAATTCGAAACTAGACTGAATTTTATGGGTACGTTAAGTGCGCCTGAACACCATTCACTTATGCAAAGTGCACTGAAAAAGGCAGTTTCGAAATAACACTAACCCAAACGGTACATCTGGTTCAAGAAAAGAAGGCCAGATTCATTTAACCACCACTGCCTTAACAATTGTATCCAAACAGACACCATGGCCCTAACATCGCCTCATCTAACCTGTTTTTTTTTTTTCATTAAGAATACTGTCAATTTCATACGAGGTCAAGGCAGGAAAAAGGGGGTCGCCTCTAGCAAGAACATTATGAAATTGAAGATATAGAGAATCATTCACAAAGTACAATGAAACGACAACTACTATAGCAATACGTACAAACAGCAGCAAATGCGGTAGGTTTACAACAATGCGCAATAAATAAAAAATAACTTTAAAAATTAGCCGTGTATCTACATGCTTCGCTGCAAATGTCGTCGAAAGACGTCATATTACTGGCGATCAAGCGGCCATTCGTGTTTCAACTCCGACAGCACCTTCGTTTTGTTGAATCAGCCCTATCTGGCTGGAATTGATTGAATATCGGCGGTGCTTAGTGACCTATGGATGCCATCTGGCGGTGAGTGCCCTCGGTAAACCTAGAAACACTGACGGGTGACCACACCAGATCATTGGAAAGCAGTTTTTCGGGCTTGAACTTCAATGATTGAACTTTGATGCAGCATCGAGTGACTGATCACCATATTTTAAATAACGCATCGTGTACAAAGGCAGCGAAAACGAATTATAGCTATAAGCCATGGGACAAAGAAATGATAACTACGGTCCAAATCGGTCCAAATGTTTTCTTGAGTGACCACTTTTTGTCATGGCCGTTATCCCCTCGCAACAAAAAGGGCTGCGACTGCTTTTTGAGTTAGCGCTACATTATTACGTCCTTCTTTTGCTCCAAGACAGCAAATTTGTAAAAGAGCAATTGAAACGAAGATATTAGGCACCATGCTATACTTTCAAGAAAAAAAAGAGCGGTCTGAAAAGGCGGTCAAGAAGACGGCCATCAGAAATGCTTCACATAGTTAGTAGCATCAGATCATTCGCACCGTAAATTAAACCATGCATCATGTAAAAAGCAGTATTGCAGGATGGGCCTCTTCTTTTATTCCAATACCGTACCGGGGGATTAAAATTGCCTGTTATTCCGTCCTCTATATTTCTCGGAATAAAAATGTTAACCCATTTCTATTCTGGAAATGACCGGGCGATAGAGTTGCGAGCATGCTGATTTCTGAACCTATGAATATCATTTTGTTAGTATTAATGAATAGAAAGCTAACGGTGCATGAATAAGATCCCATCAGAGCATTAACGACCACGAAAGTGTGCAGAACACGCCACTAGGCTAATTCAGAATCTGCTGGAATAATGTTTTTGTTTGTACGCTAACATATTTATGCTTCGCCTTCTCTTATGCAAAGTGACAGATTCTTCGCACTTATACATTCCACCTACCCTTGACTCTGGCTAACAAAAAGTAGACCTAGACGATGCGTTGAGGCATTCAACATCGACATTCACTAATGCCTGCACGACTAATTTGAGCATGATATTGCAGTAGTTAAGAGATTTTAAGGCATAAGGAGGAGGAGAAGAAGGGGGGGGGGTTATGTCGTTGCCGTAGTTCTGCATGACGAACACCAGCGGGCGAGAGCCGTAAAAAAACAACAGAGACAAATATCAGATCAGCACAGTCTATATAAAAGCAGAGTTGCAGTATATGTTTTTGCTGATAAATGTACGGTGCTTTTATTCAGCGAAAACATTTAAAAAAATACTGCTTTAATACATTAAAGGCTGTCATTTACTAATGTTTTAAGTTTGAAAAAGACATAACTCAATTGAAATTTCGTTCTGTGTGAAAGGCGATTAATTCCATTCCTATTCTATTCTTCCAAGCGTTGTCTAGAAAATGAGGAACGATTCCATAATCACTCCAAGCTTGGAGAGGTGACTCTACAACATTGAACTTGGTCAAGAAAGAAAAAAAAGCAAATGGAGAGAAAACATTTATACAAATAACGTAGAAAAAAAACGGGAACAAAGTGAAAGAAGCAAGAGTTCGGCAGGCAAAGTAAAACCAAAGGAAAACACGTAGGCTGCCCAGCTTTGCACTTCCTTCGCGTTTGGAACTACTAGAGCGACGGTGCCTTAACTTTTGTTCTACCTTCTCGCCACCTAGCCAGTAAGCAGTGTTTGCATCGTCTCCTCTACTCTCCTGTGGTCGTGCATGCAACACCTTGTATTTTTAGAGCCTTGGAACAGGCTCTGAAAATACGAGATGAAAACCAACTCGAACTCGTCATTTTTTCTTGGCGTGTGAATTTTTATGCACTTTTCAAGACGCCAGGACGGTGATTCGCGTTACGATATTATCGCACATACTCTCAAGCGGTTTATATTTGGGAAATAACAGGCCTAAATGGTATGCTCTACTACCTTCCTACGCACTCACCACCTCACTGATGAACCAACTACCAATAGACAACGAGTGGGTCAACAATATTATAGCACATGATCATCATGTGAGGGTTTCGCATGGCTACCAGGTTTTATGAACGCATTTCACTCCACTCTGTGAGTTTTCAATTGCGCAATTAGAGAGAGCCGATTTTAGTCGACAATTTCGAAAGCCTAACGCGCTCAACATTATGCGTGTGCTTCATGAAGAAAGATGCGTCGCTCAGATATGGACCGTGTGCATTGTACTCAAAGTGAGAAGGGAATCAATGGGGTGCGAATCAGAATGTTTATTTTTTAACAGGCGATCTTTTTACTGCGATTGCGAAGCTGCTGTAAAGAAAAAAATCTGTCCTTTCGTCCATCCCTCTGCCCGTCTGTCCATGCGTCCACGCGTCCATCCGTCCGTCCGTCCGTCCGTCCGTCCATGCGTCCGTCCGTCCGTCCGTGCGTCCGTCTGTCTGTCTGTCTGTCTGTCTGTCTGTCTGTCTGTCTTTCTGTCTGTCTGTCTGTCTGTTCATTCATCCATCTGTCTTTCCGTCCGCCTGTCCGCATGTCCATCTGTTCATGTAGTGAAAACTCAAAGTACCGCTATTCAAGGTGGCTATACTACGTACAGGAAATACAGGACCCATCCCTTAAAAAGCTGCTCCCTAAAACGTCAGCCCACTTCCACAGTTTTGTATATGTTTTGATTGCGATAACAGATTTATGGGTACTATGTACACAGTATTGTCGTCAAAGTCCAAATCGACGAATTTTTGTACGCACATCGTATGCTGTACCCGAAAGTAAATGCTCGCTAATGCTAGCTAGCATTGAACACGGATGAACCTGTCCAGGGCTCATGGGCAAACATTCCTCCGTGTACCAGGCTGGCCATCAATTGCTCCTCAACCAGACAGAGAGTGCCTTGTATATCTGTCCGTCAATTAGGAAGTATGAGCAAACGCCGGCTCTGCCTTGGCTGCATGGCTGGAGCCGCAACTTGGAACTTTTACTGTAAAAGCATGGTAGCGAGCTATGGCACATGCGCTGTCCTGACAGGCATCTACGAACGGCTGGTGTAACCTTCTCCGCGTTATTGCTGCATTATGACTACTTATACGACCAACTGCGCGAAAAGCACGTCATTGCAGTAATCGACCGTAATCTAATACACAAAATTTTTGCAGTTTCGTGATACTTACAGACTTTGTTCGTTATAAAGTTACATGCTTATACCGCATTGACAGCTTCACCTTTCCGGGTACTGAAAATTTTCCTGAAAAGTCAAGAGGGTAGGCTTTCTCTCCGCCAACTCCTGAGTAATTATTCTACCAGGTCCCCGCCTCCCCCGATTATCCCGCGCAGCGCAACCATCGGCGATGTTGCACCCGCACATAGTCTACGAGACTAGGGGAAGCAGAACATCGTGTCAGATCTAATGCATCCCTACTCACTCTAGAAGCTGGTGAGCTAGAGCGGTTTGAGAAAAACTGGACACAAGAAATCGTCTGAATTAAAAGAACAACGTGGCCAGGGGTAAAACTGCATACTCCTCCAAGCTCTACACAGCCTATCCAGGGGGCCCTTAACCACCTGTTATGCCACAACCCAGAAGCAATCATACAACCTTTATAAACCAGCTAAATAACTTTATGAAGCATGAAACAATACAGAACAACACATTAAATAGCCTGTTCAAATTAGCAGTCATGAACCATCAGTATTTGTTTCGTGAACTGATATTCTGTCCCGCTACTGGCTGATAAAATTAGTTTACCTGACAAGGATGTATGAACTTTGAACTGAATCTCAACCAAAAGAAATACTTTTTCAGCAAAACACATAGAAAAATCTCTACCATAATATCTAGACCTAGAGAAGCAGTGCACACACAGTCCTGAGCGGGAGAAGCATCTGGATACCTACCTACCTAGAAGCCGTCCAAAAAGACATCCGCTAAAGAGACTTAATTGTTATAAAAAATAAATTCAATTACGTCCAAAGGGAAATCTGCTGATCAAGTGCCAACAAATTATAAAAACCTGACCATAGAAACACGAGAAAATATTAGCACAACACGCCATGATCTCAAAGAGCTCAAAGAGTTATAATTTCTAAGGGTATTACTGTAGCCCGTTTCATGCCAAGACAGATTTATTTGCTTACAAAAATACACAAGAAAGAAAAACCTGGCAGGCCAATAATGTCGCAAAGAGATAGCCTCCCCGAACCAAGAT